TCCCACAGGGTGGACCAGTTTGAGTCCCGGACCTGGCAGCTTCCTTTGTCCCCCCTCACTCCCCCCCCCGTCTCTCTCTGATCAAATTAAAAAATAAATAAATAAAATTTTTAAAAAATTGAGAGAGAAAGGAAGAAAACCTGGAAGGCCACAGAAGGTGCTCTGAGAAAAGGGATGGAGCAAGGTTTCTGGGGTCAGTTTCCTCTTCTGTGAAGAGGGTAACGGTGGTGTGCTTTAGCATCGGGCCTGTTAAGGAACACCAAACACAATGGACCAGGCACCAGGAACTCACCTGACAAAGTACATGAGTCCGTTCAGAGTCACAGTCTTGGGGGCAAAGGACCAGGGTGGGAGCTGGCCGCAGTCCACCAGTGACCACAGGTCAGTCTCTGGGTGGTAGCACTGCATCACCATGGTCTCTTTGCCGGCCAGGGAGCCAATGGCGTAGAGCCGGCCGCGGCAGGCAGTGGTGGAGCAATTGTCCATGGGGTAGGTCATGGGCTGCAGGGCCTCCCAGGAGTCTGTGGTATGGTCGTAGCGCTCCGTGCTGTCGGCAGCCACCACGTACAGCAGCCCGTCCAGCACAGAGGAGCTGTGGTACTCGCGGGCTTTCAGCATGGGCGCCACTTCTGTCCACTCATTCACGCTCGAGTTGTACCTCCACACGCAGTCATATAGCCGGGAGCCATCGGACCCACCTGCCAGGAAGCACAATGGGCAGACCATTAGCCCATTCAGGATGAGTCACCCCCTCTGCCTTCCTGAACTTCCGTGAGGCCTCTCCTTGGGGAGGAATCAGCCTCTCTCCCCAGATCCCAGGTCAGAGGCTCCATGCTGTAGCAAAAGCAATGAACACACTGACCACTGTTCTGCAGGACCACCACTGCCAACCCTCTCTAGTCAGAGGCCCGGGGTTGTCATTGACCCTGCAGCCTCTGTCTGAACTGGGATGCTCAGGGACTACAAAGCACTTCTGGGTTCTAGTCCTTGATTTTGGTACAGGTTATGGAGGTGTTTTGTTTGGAAATTGCACCTAGCTGTACCAGTGCAATGTGTGCTCTTCTGAATTTATTTCGTTATAAAGCTAGGGGGGGAGTGTTGAGGTGCTGGGACAGTGGTAAAAGGCAACTTCTGCTGGGCTGATCCACGTGGGAAGGTTACTAGCCAGCATCTGGAGACCTCCCTGGGAACATGGGCAGGTGTGTGCCCACGATGTGGGACTGGCTGAAACCGAGGGTGCATCTGGGCATCAAGACTCTGTCTGAGGCCAGCATGTCATGCAGAAGTTGACACGGCTGGCTCCCACGTGGCTGATTGAGCAGTTTCAGTCATGGACCCCGTGGTTTGAAAATCATACCAGGTGTGAGTGCGTGCTCACAATCCCAAGAGGAGAATGGGGTTCGACAAGGGATTGTGGTGTGGCCATTCCCCTGGGTGGGGAGAGGTTTCTCACTTTCCCTCCCTCTCTCCTCCTCCCTCATGAGTGCACTAGCCTTGCAGGGAACAAACCAACAAGAAGACAACTCTGTTGAGGTGCTCAATCCTGGGGAAGAAAAAAAAGGAGCAAGCTTTTGGGATAGGATTAAACTGGGTCTATTAAGGGCATTCGAACCCGAGAATCCAGGGACTGCTTCCTTTGGCCTCCGAGGCTGGTGCCACAGGCGCAGACATAACATCCTATCTCTCCTAGTCTTGAGCTTCTAAAGGGGGAAGACGACATTCTTGCAAAGCCGCCTCAGAGCCCTCCTTGAAAAGGAGGACCAAGGGCAGCTGAAGCTGGCTTTCTCGCCCCCATGAAATTCCCCACAGGCAGCTGAATGGAAGGGCCCAGCCACCTGCCTATACCCTAAGGATTAGTTGCTCAGCTGTGACATTTAAGGAAGGGTGTATACAACATGGGGCAAGTCTGGCCAGTTCTGGAAGGGAGTTGTCGGGAGGAAAAGACACAGTCCACAAACTACGAGGTGCCAATGTCAAGTTGGAAAGAGGACAGATTCCAACAGAGGCTGGATTGGAGATGTAGGCAAAGGAAGCTGTGGTCCCAGAGCAGGGGATGTGCGTGAGCTGGGCTGAGTCCCATTTGTCACCCGGAGATCCAGCTTGACGTCAGAACATGTCTCAGAGTGGGATTTCTCCCGAGTATGCTAGCCTGGGCACAGCTGCTGGGATAACCCAGCCCGGAGCCTCCCTGCCTGACAACAGAGTTAGCACTAATGCGGTTCTTTCCTTATATAGCAGTCACTGAGACCGCCCTCCTCGCAGCCCCACCAAAGGAGGTAGCCTCAAGTTTGAGCTGGGGTTTATCTAATAAAAAATGTGGGAGAAGCCCAGGACTCAGGCAGGCTGGGATCCACCCACCATGACTCGGCAGTGTTTTGGGGTTTGGGCCAAATAACTGGAAGAAAACCTCTTAACATGTGACCATGTTTACAGTCACTGCTAGAGCTCAGCCTAAACACCACGTGATCATGGCAGCGCCTAGGTGCAAGCCCAGGGGAACCTTGTCACCAGTGACCCAGCCTGTGAGTCAAGAGGCTCTGAGTGGCTCAGCAGGGAGGGAGGAATCCTACCCACTGGGAAAGAATGGATGTCTCACCCAGCTGATCAGCCTCCTGCCTGTCCCTGGATTCCTCAGGAAGAAAAGAAAGCACCATTGTTTTGGGTGAATGCCCCCAGTATCTTCTAAGCAAATGGGGAGGACAGCTCCCGGGTAAGGAGCTGGCTAGGCCAAGAAGGCCCTGCTGCACAGGGCACAGGGCACAAGCAGCTACTTGTCCAGGCTCCCACAAGGGGCCCCTTCTTCTAGGTCGAAAGTACCAAGCCAAGGAATGTAATTCCCTATTCCCTGGCTTGAACTCTGGTCTTCAGAACTCTGGTTCTGTGGGTTTCTCCAGCAGGTAGACTGGCTCCCCAAGGGAAGGAGAAAGGCAGCCCTGAGGGCTCTGGCTGGGAGGGCCAGTGGGCCCAGATTCGCCCTGACCAGCCTCCAGCCAACTCACCGGTCACATAGATGTCGTTGCCCAGCGCCACGATGCTGTAGCCCCCGCCCAGGTGATCCGGGAACTCAGCCAGGTATCGCCACTGGCCAGTCTGTGGGTTGTAGCAGTCAACGGTGACCAGCTCGTCGCAGTCCTGGTCGCAGCCGCCCACGAGCACGAGGATCTCAGCGAGGCCGGTAGAAGGGCGCGGACGCATGCGGGGGCAGGGCCCGCGGTCGTGGCGGTCATAGCGCGCCGCCTGGAAGTCCCGCGCCTCACGCAGCAGGCGCAGACAGGGTGGGCAGCGCGCCACCAGCGGCTCGGCCTCGACGTGCGCCAGCAGGTAGAAGCGGCGCACAAAGGGCAGGCGCACCGCCTCCAACAGCTGCGGCCAGTGCATGGCGCGGCGGCGGCGGGGGCG